GTCGAGGCCGAGTTCTCCCTCCTCAGCCTCTCCCTGCATCCGCTCAAGTTCCTTGCAACCCTATCCTTCTCCATCTCATACCTCCCCAGTCTCCTCAAATTCCTACTCCTGGCTATTACATCAGGGTTCTGGTTCAGTCTCCTCCTATGCCGATTTCTCCCTGGCACTGGCACAGGGACCGGAACCGCATCCAAACCCATCAGCTTCGCCACGACGCCGGGCTTGCACCAAACCACGCACTCTCCCGCCACCGTCGGGGGCATTCGAAGACTCCTCTCCACATCCATCTCATACCCTTTCTTCCCACCATTCATAGGTTTCCTGCATCCTTCGCCAAAGTTGCGAAAGGAGGATCTATACATTGCGTCCTTGCCATCCAAGGAAAACCGAGGGTACTGATTCAGAGCGTTCCTTGCTGATCTCAAGATATCCGAGTTGTTCACGCAAGACATCCTTCGGTTGATCTCACCGTAGCCCTCAAGCTTAGCTCTTCTCGCCGCTGCCTCCTCCAAGTCCAACTGCAGTAACATCTCCTCAAGTGTTTTCGGACTCCCTTTGACATTGCTCGCCTCCTCCATGTAAGAACCAGAGAGAGATTGAGCGGCGATGCAGGAAACATCTGCATCGGATTTGTTACCGTTACAGGAGCTTCGAATGGCTCTCCTCATTTTGGAGGCAAAGGAATTCTTCAGGAAGAACAGAGAGAGATCTCTCATGGGAAGAAAATAAAGGGAGAGGTGGGAAGAGATGGGAGTCTGTTCAAGAGAGTTAAAAGGAATGGAAACCATAACGTAAAACGTGAATGAAGTGAATGCTGAGAGGTGAGCTGGTAGAGGATATTATAGCAGTCACAGGAGACAAACACAAAGATTTCACAGGTCTTCCCTCTCTTGGATCAAGTAAAAGACAGTGACACAGATCCCAGTTCAAACTGTGGCCAATCAAGAAAGTACCATTCTGAGTTAAAAGACATAAAAATAAGCAGTTGGTTACCTAACCCTGCTGATTCCATGTGATATCTGAAAGTAACCAGAAGAAGATACAACAAACAATCTGCTGTAGTCTATGGAATAAACTTAAAATTTCAGAATCTAGAGAAACCACTGTACATGGGCATACACCAAAAAAGACGACGGTCGGCTATTTTGATGACTGACCAAACCTCAGCCGCCACTGACGTCCCTGGTTGTTGTCTCGAATCATCGACGAGGATGATGATGAAGCAAAAATATCTTTACCCATTTTCTTCCCTTTGAAAAATCGCTTCTTGAACTGATTCTTTACCATCGATCCTCCTCTCCTTGGCATAGGTAGAGACTGACTGAGATCAACATTTGCATTGCTGCTACTCCCTGCTCTAACGGACCTCAATGTGACCTGCAAAGGCTCAGAAAACGAAATAGACCTGTCACCCCCACCGACAGTTTTCTGACAAACCGGACAAGGCGGCTCGTTGATTTGGCTCTTGGGCGTGGTCTCCTCCAAGCACTCGGCATGAAATACATGACCACAGGCAAGAACCCCGGTCACTGGCATATCATTGCTTCTAACGATTCTACGTGCACTCCATGGAGATTTATGCCACAAAGGCTTCTCACATAATCCACATCTCTGATGCATTGAACTATCAGTACATGGAGAGCTCAGGGTTTCCAAACCGATATGCTCTGTGATGTCAACGGTGTCTCCATCAAAACCAAAGTCATAGCTGCTCGCGTTGCTCCATCTGAACCCTTCTCTCCTTGACGAGCTCGTGTTGGGGTCTGGAGAGGCCTCCATCCTTTGAAGTTGTGTAAGGGATTTATGAAACTTTAGGTCAGGACTGAAAGTGTATCTCGGTGTCGTAGTGCTTCTGTAAATTTCTGCATCTGAGACTGGATTAGGGTAGACAAGGGGATAAACTGGCTTTGACATGAAAGAGCGGCGGCCAGAGAAGTGGGATGGTGGGATGAAGATTGGCTTGCTTGTCGATGCCCATTGGCTGGACTCTGAGAATGGAGATGGAGAGCTAAGACTGCTAGATACTGAGGGAACCCTGCTTGTAAATCGTCGCTACAATCCCAAAACAAGATAACCTCAGTATAAAGAAAATCGATGTACATTGAAAACAATGAAACCAACAAGATTCATTACCTCGTTTCTCCGAGAAAATACAGAAGCCTCAGGCCTTGCTCCTAGTGAAAGAGAAAAATACTAGATTAGTTGAGAATATGTAGTTTGAATTATGACAAAAATCATCAAGCATTTCTAAGATAAATGGTAAAGCCAATGCAAGCTAATTTCAATTTTCCAACTTGGTGCAATTCTGTGTATGGTCCCAATATCTATAAGTATATTGGAGAATAAAATAAAGAAAAAAGTTAATATTCCAGTCAGCTATATACATAATTAACTAGAATCATGTCAAAAAATTTATATGAACTTGAAGATGAATGCAATTCCATGTTCAAAGTTTTACATAGACACGAAGATGGATGCAAGCCCCATCAACAAGTTAACTTCTCTGACATCTCACCCAAATTAGTTGCATATGGTGCCTTCGAAGAGCTAAAGCTTAAACTGTACCTGCGCTGACACAGATTCCTACCAGCTAACTGATGGGGAACATTTATGGCATCCCGGCTTGTGACTCCAAGTGGGTGCTAACATACTTGTCTTGGTGTGAATTTAAGTAATCTGCATAAGTTTTGGTTGATGCCTTAATGTTCATAATTTTGAGGAGCTAACTAAAAATGTGGGTCTTTTCAGCCTTCTCCATGAACCTTGAGGCTCAGCAGCAACATCAGAATCATGAAAAATCTAATTGGGTATTTGCACAAAATTTAAAAACCTCACAGTGAATTGACAGTGAATACAACAACCTGACATCAGATGATGGTAAACAACCCCCGGTTCAAGGAGTTGTCACGTATCCAGATCCAATGCTGTCACAAGGCCATCTAAACAAAGCAGAATGCCATGGATTCAAGGATCCAATTCAGTATATAAGGAGAGTAATCAGGCTCTCTTTTCAGCAATTTACCTAGTCGCATGAGACTAACATGAGACTAAAGTGGACTGGTCCTTTGAGATTGTAAATCTTTTTCTGTGAAAATACTTCAAACTATGTATATACGTATATGGTGGAAGTTGGTCAGGTAATCATAAAATAGTTCAATAGCTATTCATCCAACTATTTGTTCAAATTCAAGAGACGACATCTAAGAAAACCCAAATACTAATTGAAAATCATATTCAATTTGTTTGCTTATCAAATAGTTGTTGAATGTCTAATCTCTTATATTTTATATTATTAGTGACTTATTACATACACAATGTTTTATTTGGTACTCATATATTTTTAATCAAATTCTATAATGACCTTGAGACACATAAAGTCCAAATAATCAAGATTTTGCAGTCAAACATTCAAATTCGGGTTCAGATTCAAAGATTCAGAGAAATATAAATGTGAAAATCTCACTATTAGATTCAATTCATTTCTGACATTGATATCTAACTAGTATCAAATATTGATATTTGTTAGTCCACATCTGATACAATATGAATTTTGGTATTTGCTCAATGCTAACCTGACACATATCGTAAAACTCTAAAGTCATGTTGGATTTTCAAAACCCACAGATTACTTTGGATGCCTAGGCTAGGGGAGAGAGCTATTTGGTTGGATCCCAAAAATTGACCGTGTTCGGTTGGGTAGGTTTCAATTTTAGATTAGTGTTCGCCACTTTTAGTTAATTTCAATCCAAACTGCCTGCATTACTTCCTCTTAAGAAATTTCCTTTTCGGCCATATCTCCAAGTAATTTCTATTTAATAATTATGAACCCACATGAGCTTGAAAAATGAAACTCAAAGACAGAAGTATCGAGAAATTATGGATCCTGCCTCTCTCGAACATGAAATGTAAAGAGAAAGAGCAGACTCCTCCCTCCCTCTTTCCCCACCATATCGCTTTCTCCCTTCCCACGAAGTGGATGTGAAGTCTCTCTATCACAGTCTATCAACCCTACAAAGAATTCTCCTTTCTCATCTCCAATATGAACGTTGCAACCCTCATCTCTATTAGAAGTGGCAAGAGTAGCTTAATCCCCCCCGCTGTATGGTATATGTTCAATTATGCAGTAATTAGTTCCTTCTGCGAATCTAGTTAGGCTGACATGCATATGACAGAGTAAGGGTGTGTGGTTTGAGTGAAAATGAGAGAAAAGAAAAGAAAATGTGTGAGAAAGTTAATTTCTATTGTTTGGTTTGGAAGAAACCCAAAGGGCAAAAAGAAAATGATATTGAGGAATCTAACGAGGAAAAGTATCTAAAATTTTCCCAGTAATCTTCTTCACAAGGAGGTAGAGGAAATGAACGGAAAAAAATTTGGGCTCCCTGACGAGCAATCCCTCAAGCTCGGTTCACAGGCATACGTGACTCTGGAAGGGCATATGTGATTCATATGGGCCCGACTAAAAACTGAAATTGGCTGTATAAATGGACTCCCCAGTTCGAAAGCAGATTTATTAGGCACACAATTTTTTTGGTTTTTTTTCAGATTAGTCCTGAAATCTTTCATATTTTGAAATTAGTCCCTCGGATCATCGAAGTTGCTGTCAGGTCCCTCAATAGTCAATTCTGAAGCTATTTTTTAAATTAGTCCCCAAAATCATTTAAATTGCTATTAGTTCTCTCAATTTTGATAGAGTTTTAATAACATGATTATCATTAATATAAGTTAACTGCAATTTCAATCTCATTTTATTGAACTGCCAACCAAAGAAATTAATCTTTATTATTTTCCTTCAAATTTTCTTTTAGAATTTTCTTCCTAACCATACATCGAAAATAATTTTCTTTCCTTCTGTTTTTCTTTTTCCTTTTCTTTTCCTTTTCCCTTTTCTTTTCCTTTTCCTCTTATTTTCTTTTATTTCACTTTCTTTCAAAGCAAACGCAGCCTAAAGGGACTAAGCAAATACTAAATCAAACATAGGTGCAACATTCTCGGTAACAAGGATGAAGCATAGAAGGGGTGCATTAGTGCTCGCATTACAATAAATACATGAGTTTCATCAAGTCCAATAAAGATCAAGACAAGGTAGATGAAGGAATGCAGATTATCGAGTGAATCGAGTGCATTGACGAGCTTGGAGATCACTATGTGATACAACTGGTCATAGATAACCACACATTTAAGATAACTAGAAGAGTATGTTGAAAGTGATTTGATTGAGTTTATATCTTATAGTTATGCAACCCAAACACAGATCTCATATCGGAAATGAGAAGCTTTCCAAGCATAAAGCAATTTTTGACTTGGTTTTGATTAATAGACTTTAACCTAAAGATGGTGTAGGTGTTTGATATCAGTGGCACCCTTTTATCAAGAGGAGCTTTAAGGCGTCATTTAAGATTGGGTTTGGAGAGGAAAATAAAGAGTGCTATCCCTTGATGCGTGAGAAATCTAATGCAATCAATTAATGTCTTAAGTGAGTTCAATAATTGGACTACCTTGTTGAGTGCCAACAAAAAGCAATTGGATGTCTCATCAAATCATCACACTTCTTCACATTGTGGGTACCACAAACATGTTCAGGCATATCCTTATTATTTCAATACATGTAAATCCTTCTAAAACAAAAGAATCATGACCACTTTGGTTACCATGCCAGTCTTAAATAAATAATAAGATAAGCAAAATGCGACATCCTTCTCCAAAGTATACTTCAACTACTTAGTCAAACAAAGAAGGATTAAACCTATGTCCTTTCTGATAATATATTTAATAGGGGAATTCAGGGCTTCGAGATTGGAAAGACCCTTTCCAACGATATGCTCTCTATTAGGGGTGCCAAAAAAATATGCGTATCTGCGGATATATCCGTATCGATATGCCGATTATTTTCAGTTGTGGATTGACCTCCTGAGGATAAAACATTTTGCAGATAGACCCAGAGAGGGTATGTGACAACTCTGAATATCATAGTTTGACGATATCAAGTAGTCAGGGAGTTCATCTTCTAAGAAAAATACGAGGAATGTTAAGTAGCTTACACGATGTAGTACTGGAGATCAGTCTCCTGATAGCATAGATGAGTGATAATAACTATCAACTCTCTAAAGCATAGGATGCACGGCTCCAAATAACTCTTAAACTTATGCCATGTAAAATAAGCAGAAAGGTAAAGGGAACGGCTTAGTTCTGATATAAATATGCACCCTTTGTGCTCCAAATGCAGTCATGATATGATCAAAGTATAAACAAAAATGAGTGATAAGAAATTCCAGGCAATTAAGTAAACAGAATTTGCTAGGTTGCACAGTCATGGATATGGAGATATGGAAAAATAGAATACATATAATGTGAAAATCTTGAAGCACTAGGATGCCCGCGACCAAGATACTGAGTAACAGATAAGAAATAACAATATGTTTAGACATACAAAACCTTCATATATAGTTTTTTAGTCATTTATAACATAAAAAATAAGCATCAAAATAATAAAAGTGACAACTAAAAAAGACAATGATTTAGTACACTGTACATTAGAAATATCGTTTAGCTCTCATCACATTTTAAACAAGAATCTTAGAATCTGTAGAATTAGCGACGATATGTGTCTTCCAATATCAGAAGTGTCATAAAGTCCAAGGAGTGTCAACAAATTGTTGTGCCCAACATGAACAGGCAAAGAATCAACCTAGTCAACAATAATGCTAATTTGCAACATGGAGATGATTACAGCTAATACATGATAGAAGAGGACAGGAGCAAACAGGTTTCTTTGCCTATTCCTTCACATGTCATTCATTTTTTTGCCTCTTTCTGAAAATGAACAAAGCTTCAAGTGACTCAAGTCTCTTCAAATTCACCACAAATGTTTCAAATTTCAAGCAATCAGAAAAATGAAAAATCAACTCACATATCTAAACATAAACACAGAATTGTTTAACCTTTCCCCCTTCTTCGGTCAAATATGATACCTTGATGTTTTATGTTCAGATCTTGCCATTTTAAAGTTGTTACTAAGAGTCTAGAAGATGAAATTGGCGTATCCTTTAATAATACCTATAATCTTTTCTGTCTTTTCTAAACCTTGTGAAAGCCCTCTACCTAACTTCCATTGTAATATCCAGTACCAGCAGTTGGATAAGCTTGTGTTCAACCATGTTACATACAACATAAGAACTAGAAGCAACCAAGAGATAAGCAAAAGAATGCAAACTAACTATTCTTTGTTGACTACAAGAATTATAGATAGATGTATATGACATAATAATATAACATCAGGCATTTTTGCAAAAGTCAAGCAATTAACAATTTTTCAGCATTCATGACCATATATAGAAAGTTTATAATCAAACATACCTCCTGAAGGTGTGGAAAACTCGCCAAGATCATATCTTTGTACAGGTGGGGTCCAACGAGGTGCTTGGTGATTGTCAGATGGGCTACCATAATAAGAGAGTGCACCATCAGAGACAGAATGATAATGACTTGGGAGTGGCTCGCTGCTGACCATGTTTCTACTTCCTCTGCTTTGTGATGATGCTGAAGACTCATAGATGACAGGCCCATTAGTTACACGAGATAAGCCATCAGGATGAAACTGGCAGTCCCATCTCCTTGGCAGTGGAGGAGAGAAGCTTGAATTTATTCTCCAGTGGGGTTCAATACGATCCATTGAATGGTCCCTGCTGACTGAATTGGATTTTGTTCCATGTGGCCCAGCGGCCACACAACAAAGAGCACCCGTCTTAGCTATTTTTATACACTAACTTGCAAATTGGATGGACACAATTATGTTTTATTTAAGATACTATCTTCCTTGTTGATGATCAAGTACTAGCCTTCACTTCATAATTTATCAGGATGCATCAGATCAAACAACAGAAGTAGCGCTGAAGGTTGGAGGTTCGACAAGATTACCTGTAGCAGAATTCAGAACTCCAAGAGTTACGAAGAGATGGAGACACCTCAACTTAAAACCACAAATATACATATTACATAGATGTATTGCAATGTCACTATAGTTTGGCAAGATTAATTACATGCATAATAACAATTGAAAGAACAGAGAACAATAGCATTGAATTGTACGTCTGCAATCCTAACCCCAAGCAGCACCTCCCTCGCTCCCAGAGGAACTATACTCTTTGTGGATACACCAACTATATAGTATATATCATATTGTGAGGTTTCAAAGTTCCATTAAAAAAATTTAAAAAACAAGAAAAGGAATCTGGTCACATACTCCATAGAGTTAACTTTCTGGTTAACACTAAATTATCAGTGACGAAACAAGAGCCAGAGCCAGATAAAACTTGATCCTAATGATGGTTTAAGAACAAAAAAAATAATTCTCATGTATGCTGGTATACATATGAATTAGTTATCAAGTGAATATGATTAGCACAAGATGACAATTAACAAGCTTAAATGTTGCCATAAAGAATACTTGCTTTGATATGGAATAGAATAGAGAAATATAACTAATTATGCATAAAGAGAGGCCTACCAAAGTGTTTATAATAATGCATAATGAAAAATGCTTAACTATAAGTTCTGCTGCCTAGACCAGCAAAATAATGTGAATCAGCATCCTATGCCAACTAAAGATTCTTCCCATATTCACTTGACGTCAAAGCACATGTCAGAACAAATTCCATAACTCGCATCAACATAATTACCACGGCAATATCATGTCTATTTCAAGCCAAAACAAAGAGAACAAAATGTACTTCCAACCAGATGAAGTTCCCCGTTATCGCAAAGGTAACATTTGTACTTTTCTGAAGGTAATGTAATAACATATACATACATAATTTGAACAATTACCAGTATGTAGCCGGATTGATGCCTTCGAGGACTTGATACAAAAACAGCTCGAATTAAAGCCCTGAAATAGAGAAAATATTTTGTTAAATAGACCCAAAATTAAACCATCAAATACTCATTGGTTGGAAGAATTATTGCATGAATCCACTCTACCAACCATAAATAATAGGATAACTATCAAGACAGGTTGTAAATTGCTGCCCATATCAATACATATCTTTATATCATAATAATCCTTCAACCAGTGCAAATTGAATATTAAATGAGATCATTCGCTTAAAAATAAAAGGGAACATGTACCTGAAATCATACCCACGAAACAAAAACCTAGTAAATTAATTCCAAAATAAAAAATCCATGAAAAAAGTTTGCATTTTTTGAGGACCCAAATCGGCAATCCAGCTCTCCAACGCAAAAATCGCAAGAATCACATGAAACCCATCCAAAACAACAAATAAAAAGCAAACAAAACAATTAAATAAACAATCTACCTGCTGAAATTGTAGGGATTAAAGCAACAGTGCGCAATTTGGGGGGAGAAAAGGTAATAATAATTGAAGAATAATAAAAATCAGAAAGGGCTTGGCTTTTTAATGATAAGAGGAGAGAAAAGGGGTAAAGGATAATAGAGAATAGAAGAACCTAATAAGTATGATTGAAAGAGACGACCCAAAATAATGGCGATGATTATTGATGCTTATCTCTCTAGAAATAGAAAAGGTACATAAAATTATGGCAAGCTCAGAGGTCCCCTTTAGATTCTGGTTGCTATCCTTGGCATCGGGCAAGGGAGAGGGTCACGTGCTGCGTGCGTGAGGGAGAAGTGGGTTAATGGAGGTGGGATTCGGTTCCGTCCCAATTAGGCAGTAATTGAAGAGTATCTAATAATTCGAATCTCTACAATTCAACCCAATTTTTAAGAATCAAGATTATATCATGTAGGGTTTTTAATAATGTGATTTTGTTTTTTGTAATAGTGATTTTCAACATAATAGTGATTTTCAAGACAATAGTAATAATCGTGGTATCATCTTATCTTTTGATATTAAAGTAAAAAACAAGAATTAAGGTAATTGGAAAAGTCTCTAATCACCGTCTAATTAAAGAGTACTCATATCCGAGGAGGTGAGGCCGTGAGAGTTGCGTGGAGAGTTGGGAATGGGCACATTAGGTAATTTACGTACATCTAGGTAATGGATGGGCCTCTTTGGATGGACCTCATAATTATTTGATGCCCGAGCTTAATAATTGAATGTTTATCTGTGATTAAAATAAAAAAAATTGTTTGGAAAAGACGTAAAGAGTACAATTTCTAAGCCTAATTACATTTATGTAGGCTGACGTACGATTTAATTACGTAGGTGATGCCCACTGATAATGCTACAATTACTGATCGTATCTATATGAATAATTCTATGCTTTAGTTGTTACTCACTAGTTCTCGTGATTATAAGGGGTTGTTTGGTTCGCTTCCTATATATATATATAGGGAAATCCGGAAATGTAATTTATGTAAAGAAACTTAAGTTTTGAGTTTTCTAAACTTTTTGTAAAAATCAGATTGTTTTGCTTTGGTTCGCATGTAAAATATGGTGGGAAAACAATATATTTATTTTTCTTATGTTTGGTTTGCATGAAAAAAAGGAAAACTTTTGTGATTTGACATTTTTCACTTTTCTTGTGTTTGGTTGATTTTGAAGTGGATATGAAAAAGTGTTTATGGTCATCATGGTAAGATTAACTACACATGGACATAGTACAAATTAGAACTAACATGATATAAATTAGAACTAATATGGTACAAATTAGAACTAACATTTCATAAATTAGAACTAGCATGGTACAAATTAGAACTAGCATGGTACAAATTAGAACTAATATGGTTAGAACTAATATGACATAAATTAGAACTAACATGATACAAATTAGAACTAACATGGCATGAATTAGGACTAACATTTCATAAATTAGGACTAACATGATACAAATTAGAACTAATATGGTACAAATTAAAACTAACATGATACAAATTAGAACTAACATGACATAAATTAGGACTAATATGACATAAATTAGCACTAACATTATACAAATTAGAACTAACATAGTAAAAATTAGAACTAATATGACATAAATTAGAACTAACATTTTAGAACTAACATTGTACAAATTAAAATTAACATTGTACAAATTAGAACTAACATGGTATAAATTAGAACTAACATGGTACAAATTAAAACTAACATGACATAAATTAGAACTAGCATGGTACAAATTAAAAATAACATGGCATAAATTAGAACTAACATGATATAAATTAAGACTAACATGACATAAATTAGAACTATTATAGCATAAATTAGGACTAACATGACATAAATTAGAACTAACATGGTACAAATTAGGACTAACATGATATAAATTAGAACTAACATGACATAAATTAGAACTAACATGGTACAAATTAGAACTAACGTGGCACAAATTAGAACTAACATGATACAAATTAGAATTAACATGGCATAAATTAGAACCAATATGGTACAAATTAGAACAAATTAGAACTAACATGACAAAAATTAAAACTAACATGGTATAAATTAGAACTAACATGGTACAAATTAGAACTAACATAGCATAAATTAGAACTAACATGACATAAATTATGACTAACATGGTACAAATTAGAACTAACATGGTACAAATTAGAACTAACATAACATAAATTAGAACTAACATAACATAAATTAGAACTAATATGGTACAAATTAGAACTGACATGGTACAAATTAGAACTAACATGATACAAATTAGAACTAACATGGTACAAATTAGAACTAACGAAACATAAATTAGAACTAACAAGGCATCAAACCTGATAATTTATGCATGTTGATGAACTTTATGTGCAAAAATCAATTGAAAATATGTCTTCTGATAATTTATGCATGTTGATGAACTTTATGTGCAAAAATCAATTGAAAATATGTCTTGACATCATGTCAAATAAATCAGAGCATGTTGATGAACTTTATGTGCAAAAATCAATTGAAAATATGTCTTGACATCATGTCAAATAAATCAGACACATGTATATGCAAATTATGGTTGTGGGCTCAGAACTTGTTCAATATCATCATTGTTAGCCATCTAGTGCAATATCAACAGATATTGCAGTTTGCTAATCCCTGAAAAATTGATAATCATCATAGCCTCAATTGAACACCCACAAATAGTATCAAAAACAACAAATCCATGAACATAAAACTGAGCACAAACAGTGCGAAAAACCTAAACACAAATAGAACTTCAAGTGACTGAACACAAACATAACACAAACCCAAGCATCAGGAAATCTGGTGTGCACAAACATGAACACAAAACATCCTCATATGGACTATTTTGCACAAACATGAATAAAACTTGATGATAAGGAGGCTGCTGTGCACAAACTTGGCTGAGAACAAACCTGAACAAAACAACATCCACAAAACATAGCACAAATAGAACTTGAACAAAAAAGCATCCACAAACAGCCAGGCTCACAAACCTAAAAACAACCAGGCTCACAAACAACCATCCAACAACACCAAGTGACTGAACATCCAACAACACCAACCAAACAGCTAGGCTCACAAACCTGAAAACAACCAGGCTCACAAACAGCCATCCAACAACAAACACCAACCAATATTCCTGATCCATCCAACAACACCCACCAGCCACGAGAAACACCCACCAGCCATCCAACAACAACATCAACCAACCAACCAACAACACCCACCAACAAGACAACCAACAACACGAACCAACCAACCAACCAACAACACCAACCAACAAACATCAAGTAATTAGCTGTTGGCTACTGGTTACTTCTTAGGATTTAGAATTTGGTCAATATCATCATTGTTAGCCATCTAGTACAATATCAATAGATATTACAGGTTGCTAATCTTAGAAATTGACAATCATCATAGCCTAAAAGTAAAAAAGATACCAAATTAAACTCGGGGCATGACAACCGAATACCTTAATAACCCACAGGAATAGTCATCCAATACAATGCGTGTACATTGTAGGTTACTTGCCGCTCAAATAATTTTATCAATTGTCATGTTCGTATGGTGACTTATAAAGTTTCTGCAGTCACAATTTCAATGTAAAAGTTAGTATTCTACAACATTCACATCATGACCCAAAAATTAATGACAAAACCTGAATGAATTTCAATTTATAAAAATTAATGATAAACTAAGTAGAATTCTAAACAAGCTATCGAGATCCAAAAATACTACAGATCCAAATCCTTCATGAATTCAACATCCTCCTTTCTTTCTAAGAATTCAATCACCATCTACCAATATTTCATCTTTGATAGCAAAACTAATAATAAAAAAGTCACTAATATGGCTATCAAAATTCTAGATCCATCACACAAGATCCCAAAAAAAGTTAAACCTAGGAAGATTAAAGTACTCAGAATCTAACGCTTACGCATCAAAATAAAATGAAATACTATCTTAAAGATTTAAAGGTAAAATGAATGATTGTACCACCTAAAGCAACCCAATTGCATAATTACCCATTAATTTAATAAATCTCTCAAGCAAAGAAACTGAGAACGTGAGACTCAGTTCTCAGTTTTCTTTAACGGTGAGTCATTAAGTATAAGAGCTACAAACAGTTTGCACAAAATTGACAATTAGCAAAAACTATTTTTTCTCAAAATCTGCTAAATATACTTCTTTATTGCAATAACAAATTCACTAAAAACAGGCAATTAATTGCATGAAAAATACTTCAAGAAGTCATATAGGAACAATCTCTATTGCATAGAACATAATATAACTTAATTTGATGAGCTAGAAACGTTATCTACTATATACATAAATCAGTAGTATCCAACAAAAAGTTAAAAAAAAATTCTTAATTATTCCAACAATATATGTTTCTATATCCTACTAGATATAGATATTTAATATTCATATCATCTAATATTTGGATATACCATACATCTAGTGATACCATATAGTTTTTATTTACTATTTATTTATGCTCATAAATTTCCTCAATTTTTAGAGTTAATAATTTGATGAAGTTACATATATAGTTTAATTCAGTCAAAAAGGATAAGTCATAAATTTTAAGTAGGTATAAAAACGTAGGTAGAGATTATATATACATTATAAAACTACAAAATGTCTTCATACTATTAAACAACGCAAAAGTTTAAATCTGCTAAAAAAAATTTATTACTCTAAAATCTCAAAAAATTAATCAAATACAAAGCTCAGATCTGAATAGCGTCGGCAAAGATCAGATACCCCTTCCTCAATTTCTCAGAAAATTGATCTAAATTAAACTAATAATCTAAAAATTAAAAAAAATATTTACCTTGATTTATGAAGCAACAACGTCGACAAAGATCAGATCTGAATAGCGTCGGCACAAGATCAGACGCATCTCCCCCAATTTCTTCGAATACAGTCACAAAGAAGGTCATGGGAGTTTATGGCGAGAGGAGAGCAATGAGGTAATAGTAGCTCACCAAAGAAAACAACGAGGAAGATCAAAATATGACTTAGCCAGGGTTTCCGTCGATTTCACTTGGTTGGGGAAGGAATTGAGGGAGAGAAAAAAAACCTAGGTGGCGGCGATTTCCTCCTTCGTTTCTCTCTTTAGCCCTAGTGAAACAAAGCTAGGAAAGAAAAATAGCAAAAATAAATAACCAATGTGGA